TTTATAAATAAATAATTTTACAAAAAGTTTAGTTTCTGACTCTTTATTCAATAACTTTTTAGATTATGATTGAAAAAAATTAAAACCCCTTCACACAGAAGTGCGTACAGAGATCCAAACAATTATAAAAATGATGCATCAGTTTATAATATCGGGCTAACTTTGAAATATCACCTCTCTTTAACCTTTGCTTTAACCATATCCCACCCCAAATACGTTTTTTGAGCCTTGGATATGAAGAGTTCAAAGCTACATAGCGCATTTTTCTTGCTTCAGGGTTTAGGGAGAGTTAAATAATTCTTTTCGCGGGATTGGAACGTAAATATTAAAAAGTTCTTCAATTTCGATTTACATTTTTTTTCTGGTATAGTAGATGATTGGATTCAGGAAATCCCAATGATTGTGTTTCAGTGTTTATATTTCTGGTGATGCCTGAGACCGGCATGTAAGCTACTGCATGAAGCTGAGAGAGAGCATGAGCTCGACATGTAAACCTCATGACAAGGAATTTAAGTATCTAGCTTCCTGTAAACAGATCTTGTTTACCTGTTACCTGTTTACAAGAAAAGTAAATGCAAGGAATTATCAATGCGTGTAAAGCATATTTCAGTTTGAACTATTGTCGTTTATTAACACAAATCTTTCTAAAATTGTTTTTATATCTCATTTCAATTCCCCAGTCAATTGCAAATTGACAGAACCGAGAATATTTAAATAGTTAAGTTGGAGGGCCGGGGAGGAAGAAGAGAATAAAAAGGGGGGGGGGGGGGGGGTCGACCAAAACCGGAAGTAAGATATAGCTCCCCAGCCATATCGGATTTTCTGAACCCCCCAGTTCCTGTATCCCCTCATGCACGGGCCTTGCTCAAGGAGACTCAAGCTCAACTGCATGAAATGATAAGAATTTTACCCCCCACTCCCCACCCTCCCCTTCAAGAACATCCACGAAAATAAAGACTATAGAGACTATAGAATGCATATGTTGAGAAGAAAGACATGGGGGGGGGGGGGGGTTCTTCTTAGCTTCCGTGATTCTTTTATTTTTGTTCAACTTTCTTTGAATTTTTCAAACGATCATTTCAAGGTTTAATGACATTTTTTTACCTTTGAAATAAAATTCTACATGAAAACATTTCTAGATACTACACCTTGACTATAGATATAAATAAACATACTTTACACATGTATCTGGATGGCCTGCCCGTCCGGCCTCTGTCCCGTCCTAGCCGTGGCGTTAGGCCCAGACCTGGAAACGCATGCTGGAATCTTCTAGAAGGTTCTACTTTCCCCATGGCAATCCCTCCAATCTTCTTCTTTCCCCGACATACAGGGTTACCCACAAATGAAGAGATTTTATATAACTCTACATGAATTATACTGGGACTATTCCGTTGCTCCTTGAGACCAACTTTAATTCGGACTGTGAGATTTCACAACATAAGTTTCATGTTTTTCATCTGTGGCAATAATTTAATTTACACAGAAGTCCGTTTTACCGGGGTTAAGGGTGAATATTTGTTACAATATTCAATTTTTTTAAATCTTGTCATGCTGGTTAAGAAAGTATCAATCATACTTTTAAACTACAATGACCACTGTTCTCGGTGAATGTTTTGCTCTATTCGATCGCCAAAAAAACTCTAATTCTTGAAAGACTATAATTATACGAATCTCTGTAAATCCCTAGAAATAAACAATATTTTCTAATTCTGAATTTATCTTCGTCTGAGATCTATACTGCACCGTGTGAGAACGTTTAAACGTTTGATTTATTAGAAATCTTGATTTATAAATAATCTAATTATTCTTGTAGGATGTCACCCCCCCCCCCTTCTGGTAATTTAAAATATTTGGCAACATCAATACTTCACAATTTTAATATTTTTTCTCTTTTGGAAAACATATTTCATGGTTTATTTTTCTGCAAATATAGTTAACCCTGTTCAGATTCCAGTTAACCCTGCACGTTGTACCCTCGCCTCCCTTTAACCCCCCCCCCGAGCCCACCCCTCCTGACCGGGTTGCTAAGCTGGAGCCAGGCCCCCACTATACTATCTAAATATTTCTCCTCAGTATATGACAAACTGTTGGCTCATCAGCATTGAATAAAATTGTAAATTTTAGTGAAAATTAGATTAATTATGTTAAGTATTAATTTTTTTCATATTTGCAATATTTTCTATACGTCAATTTTGATTATTGACATTTCTATGTGAAAAACCGTCTATAGCATGTCTTAGTCGCAGCGCTCGACCCGGGCCTTATCAAGTCCAACGCACTTGCAAAAATTTCGTGTATATAGTGGCAGCTTTTGTGAAAATCATCTTCAAGGAAGTACCAATCATCTATTAGGATTCATATTTAATTTATCAAACATTCATGCCGTTTAAAGGGACTGTAACCGTAGTTTCAAGTGAATCTCTATGTAATGATTGCAATGCCCGATTTGTCTACGATACCCTTAATACCTTTATTTGATCGGAAATGTGGAAGATATTGTAGTTTATTAGATTTATTAATGTTTTATCCTGTGTATGTTTCCTACAGAAGAAATGCATAAATCGCCTTGAAGAGAATCCACAATGGAAAATAATCTGTTTTTAAAATTTTAAATATTGTATATCTATTTTATACTTAATCAGGCTTTACGCATACAGAGGTCAAGTTCAACCTGTAAAAAAATATCTTAGTTAGTGAAGTAACTTATCTTATTTTTAGTGAAGTAACTTTCTTATTCTCAGTGAAGTAACTGTAATTGTAAAACAAAACTAAAAAAAAAGTTGGCGGATTTTTTACAATTTTACGGAAATGGAAATTTGTTGGAGGCAAATTTTTGAAATTTTAATCATTCATAAATCTTCCTTGGGGACATGTGTAGTTTAGTCCAACACACAATTTTGGCCCAATCGGTTCAGCCGTTTTGACGTTTATTGGATACAAACAAAAAGACAAGCAAAGTATATATATGTAGCAAATACCTACTACATAACAGTTTACTCAAGACGTATCTATCCAGGTCTACTCGTTTCCAACATCAACCAGGACTAATTCTCTGTTTCTAAAGGAGACACAGCCCAAATCTCTATTAGTATAATTCAACGAGGACCCAAGCTATATTTCAAGCTATATTCGAATCAATTGCCAATTATCATTAAGACAAGATCTACGCTCGAATGTTTCAACGAGAACCCAAGCTATCTTTCATTAAAGGGTATAGTCTAAGTTTAAACATTGTTTTGTCTTAGATACGCTTACAATCATATTTAGCACTGAAAATGAACTCTTAATGGCATTATATCATATTCTAACAGCAAAGTGGGCCAGACCATTTTTTTACAATTTTATGGAGAATTTTTACGATACTTTTTCTGTAATTAAACCGTTTATTGATTAAATGTCGAAAAAATGTTGGAAAATAATAATCTGAAAACATTTTTTAAGTTTTGCTTGGTTGCCTTGTTTTCGGGTTGATCCGCTTTGTACTCACCATGAACAATAATCCCTTTTTACTCACCATAAACAATAATCCCTTTAGTGCCCCTATTAATTTTAAAAAGGTTAGGTTCAATTGTTACATGAGCTTTAACCATTTTTTCTTGGAACACAAATAAAAAAGATTTTGCAGATTTTATTGTTTTCATTCCATGGATTGAAGAGTCCAATGGAATGATTGAATCTCTAAATCTAATGATTTTTTTCTAATGGATTTATTTATCTCTTTGGAATTATTATTTTCTAATGGAATGATAAATCTCTAATGAATTAATTCATCCCTAATGAATTGATAAATCTCTAATGAATTAATTCATCTTTAATGAATTGATAAATCTCTAATTGATTGATTAATCTCTACTGAATTGATTAATCTGTAATGCATTGATAAATCTCAAATTTTTTAGCAATTTATTATTTTTAGTTTTTCCGAGTCGGCCCTTTGAAAACCACATTTTTTTCTGATAAATTTCTTCTTCAATAACTTGATAAATCCTTTTATAATACATTTTTCAATAATTAACCAGTTTCATCACTTGATTTTTTTGTACTAAAGGAAGGGTGAATTTGTACTATATTATTTTGTACTTAAAACCAGTACTGTATATTTATGATACCATGAGGTAGTTGTATTTTGTTATTTCGTACTTAAAGACTCCAGTCTCAAGCGGGTTAATATGTTACTATGTTACTATGAAAAAACACCCTAGAATACCCCTCAGTCTTTTCTTGACTTCTGAATGTGGTTCTCCAGTTCAAAATTTTATATGTCGGATTCAAAACCTTTATATATATATATCTGACAATAATAGTAAACATTTCGTCGTTGTTGTATCTTGGAAAAGAACACATTTCTGTTAATTTATTTCCTTGTCTCTGTTGCTTAAATGCGCAAGTAACTTTTAGAGATAATTCGTAATTGAAACAAAATGGAAAAATAAAGATAAGTTCATTTTTGCTTGAACAAAAGTTCAAAAACTCTATTGAATTGACAAACATTATGTAAGATTCATGTTTCATATTTTTGGCTATAAATATACAGTTAAACCCTTAATAACGAATACATCGGAAGAATTTATCGAATGTCGTCTTGACAATTTTTCAATGAGTTTTATACTATATTACGTAAATTTCAGTATTTGTGAAAATAAATAAATAGCCATGAATATGCGGGAACAGTTTTAAAGAGTTCCATATAATCATTTAATTAAAAAACTAAATATCTGCAACATTCCATTATCAGAAGGTGAAGAATACGACATTTGATGAATTCTTTCGATGTATTCGTTAGTAAGTGTTTCATTGTATATGGTTACTCAGTCCCCATCCGTTTTAAAATAAAGCTTAATCGGTCATTCACAGAATTATGAAACTTACCATTTAGGGTGAATTGAGTTCATGAAGAGAAATTAAATTAACATAATCTAACCATCATGATCATTATTGAGATAACAGCTAGTCCTTAATCAAACTATTATATTCATTACATAACATGCTCAAACAATAATTTATTATTATTTTCAGATTAAATCTAGGTGTATAAAGTAGAACAAGAAATTGTGTAGAGGAATTTACAAAATCCAAATCTACAATGTTCTGCCCCACCTCCTTAGATCAATATTTCTCTGAACACTTCAATGCTTTAGACTCAAATCATAACAAGAAACAGAATTTTAAACAAAGATTGAGTTTAGAAACAAGAAGAAGAGAATCTGAAGATACAACCGAAAGGTAAAATGATTCTGTTTATAATACCTTCATCTAATCAATTCACTTTGGGTTTGAGACGCATGTGGAAACTAGGATGTCTCTAAAACTCTGATTTTTTTTTATAAAATGTTAACCCTCTATACTCAGAAGCATAGTTCACAACATGTCTCCTTAACCCATTTCTCCCTGCTGCCCAAAATTCTCTTGACATACTGGCCTGATTTAGCCCAGCCCCTAACCGGGACCCTTCCCTGTCCCTAACGACCCTAATGGACCAGAAAAAATTCCTTATCCCTAATGATGCAAGGGGGAATCATAACATATAGAAATTCCTTTCCTACAGTTACCCCCCACTCCTTTCTAGCATTTATTTCCCCTTTAGGGTAAACTCCCTTCCCCTACACATACATCCGAAACCTGTCCGTACTATAACCCCGCCCATCTCCCATCCTTTGCCTTCTTTAATCCCACCCAACCCCTCCTAAATCCTTCTTTATTCCAAACTGCTCTCCATCCGTATCCTTCTTAAATCCGAACCCTACTCCTATATTTTTCCTTCTTTAATCCCCCCAACCCCTCCTAAATCCTTCTTCATTCCAAACCTCTGTCCATCCCTATCCTCCTTAAATCCGTACCCTACTCCTTTATTTTTCATCATTCCAAACCTTGCCCCATCCTTCCCATTCTAATTCTGCCTGCATCCTAGACCCGCCCTATCCATATCCTGTCCCATCCTTATTCTACCGCCATTCTCATCCATTTCTCATCTATACATGTTCTCAACCTTTCCCATTATCCCTACACATCCTTATTTTTCCATCATTCTCATCCCCCTACCCATTCTCATCCCTACATATACTCATCCCTACCTATCTTCATCTCTACCAATACTCATCCCTACCGTTTTCATCCTACCTATCATCATACCTACTATTCTCGATTCTCATTCATCCCACCCATCCTCATCCTACCAACTTAACCCCCCCCCCTCACCACCACCACCACCAATAAATATTTACATAAACCTGCCCCAATAAACATGGGAATTGAGTGACGACTTCTATATCGTCTTCGATCCATGCGACATTTTTTCATGGACACAATTTTTGCAGTATTCCTGTTTAAACATATAATATAGAAAACGCTTGGTCTTGAGATTTTCAAAATGTGGGCTACAATTTTTGTTTCTTCTAAATTGACAGAAATATTGCAAAATTTGTACAAATTTCAATTTATTTCATAAATCAAAATTGTCTTAATAATTAATATCTTCGTCAATTTGTTAAGACACGAGAAAGGTTTAGACCACTTTTATGAAAAGCTCGTCAGATGTACAGCCTAGTTTTTAAGGCAGACGCTGAACTCCAACCTTCGAGTGTGCGAGGTGGAGAAGATTTCACTGCAGATTTTACTTTTGTACATGACCACTTTTTCAACATTTTTCAATTAAATTAGGATTTATTTAGGGTTAGGTTAGGTTAAGACACTTTCTGGGCCGAGCGCTGCGGCTAGGACAGGCTAGGGGGCCGAACGCTGCGGCCACGGGTTAGGTTAAGTTATGCCACTTTCTGGGCCAAGCGCTGCGGCTAGGATTCAATCTCGATCTACAAATGTCATCGTCCTTAATCATGCTTTTAATTAAGCGCGGCAGTGAAGTCTTCCCCACCTCGCACACTCGAAGGTTGGAGTTCAGCGTCTGCCACGTTTTTATACTTTCTATGCAATGCATTAAATATCAGAAATTAAAAATCGACTTTAGATGTTTATTGGGACACTCTGTACTATTCATATCTACATAATCCTTTATATTATTGGGACACTCTGTACTATTCATATCTACATAATCCTTTATATTATTTACGGATTTGGATTTGGGGGAAATGTAAATTGGATTTTTCTGCCAGTAACAATATTTAATGATGGTTTTGTGTAACATTTACCCCCTTATACGTATCCACCTATTTTTCATGGTATTTATTGGTGATTTTTCCTTGTGCGTAATTTCTACCTAAAACCATGTTTTCCTAGAAAAGAGGGTAAAGACAGCCCCCTGTCAATATGGCAGATGATTAGAAACATAGAGATTATACGACGCATATGGTTTCCATCATCAAATACAGATGTACTAGTAATCACTTAATATTTACATACGTTTCCAATATATTCATTTTCGGAAATGTTTTAGGGTAACTCATGTGGCTCATAGTTCTGAATATATTAATGAGCCTTCTAAGCCTTCTCAGCCTTTTCGATTGAAAAGACACTCTGAAATAAATTTTCATTTTTGAAATACAAAAATCTTTTCTTTTAGTAACTACTATCTAAAGGGCCTGGCGTTGCCCGTAAAAAAAAATTTAATTAAAAATTTGTTTAGCCTTTAACACACACCGGCCACCCATGTGTGCCCACAAAAAATGTCAGCCCAATCGGTCATCCGTTTGGCCTGCTATACGCACCATATATATATATATATTTCGGCACCGCCTGCACCCCCGCGCCGAAAAAAAATTAGTTGAGAGCATAGATGTATAATTGATTTATTGTATGCACTATAAATATATGCGAAACCAAACCATTAATGCGCGGGTTGAACTCATATATTAATGGTATTGACTATAAATATTTTGGTATATATTTGTAGATTCCAAGTTATTTTTTGACAAGCATATAGTCAGAGGTCCCCCCCCATCTCAGGTGCTAGGGGAGGGCGCGCGCCCGGCCGCCCCCCCTAGTTGCGCCTCTGCATATAGTGTTTACTAGGGGGCGCCAAAAAAACAGTTGCTGTCAACATAAGTATATATTATTGATTTATAGGGGTTCCCGAGTTATGATCGGACAAACAAACAGATAAACAGAGATTACAACTTTATAAATATATATGTGATTATTTAGCGGACAAAATAGAATAATCAAATCACTTTTGAACATTCATTCATATAAAACTTTGTTTAACATTAAGTTTTATATTAAAAGCAGATGTTAAGGAAATAAATAAATATATTTCCAATTATTTATTTCTAAATAACCATCAGTTTATCCTATTAAATTTTATTAAGGCTCATTAGTGCGTAAATGACTTGGGGGTTGGGACAGGATTAAATGAGGTGGAGAGGAGGAGAGGGGGTGTTAAAGGAGGAGGGGGGGGGGGTCTGATATTGCACCTGGGTTGACCACTACTCCAGATGTATATCACAGCTAGTCCTTCTGGTCATCTGTCTGTTTGTTTGTCTGGATGTCTATTTAATGCTAGCTAAAATCTTCTCTGTCAACTGTAATCAGAATATTACAAACCTTCAATTATTTGTATTATTAGTATTATTAGCATTACTATTATTAGTATTATTAGCATTACTATTATTAGAAGATGATACATACAAAGGGATCAATCTGAATAAATTAAAAGAGAATTATTGCTAAATATAAATTAAGTAAAAGAATGCAAATGATAATAAATAAATTGAATGTTAATTAAAGATGAATATAAATGAATAGAAAGAGAATATTGATGAATATAAATAAATTGAAAGTCAACTATGTATGAATAAAAATGAATAGAAAGATAATATGGATGAATATAAATGAACTGAATGTTTACTATGGATGAATATAAATGAATACAAAGATAACTATGGATGAATATAAATGAATTGAAAGATAACTATGGATGAATATAAATGAATAGAAAGAGAATTTGTTTGCATGGTGGAATGAACATGGATATATAGAAAGAGAAAATAGATGCATTAATGAATAGAAATTGGATAGAGATAAATGGGAAGAGAATAGAAAGTGAATATGGATGAATAGGAAGAGAATATGGATGAATTGGAAGAGAATATGGACGAAGAGGAAGAGAATATGCATGCATAGAAAGTAAATATGGATTAATATAAAGAGATTATGGATGAATAGGAAGAAAATACGGATGAATAGGAAGAGAATATGGATGACAGGAAGTGAATATGCATGATCGGAAGTGAATATGAATGAATAGGAAGATAATATGGGTGAAGAGGAAAAGAATATGGATGAATAGGAAGAGAATATGTATGAATAGGAAGAGAATATGGATGAATAGGAAGAGAATATCGATGAATAGGAAGAGAATATGTATGAATAGGAAGAGGGAAGAGAATATGGATGAATAGAAAGAGAATATCGATGAATAGGAAGAGAATATGGATGAATAGGAAGAGAATATGGATGAATAGGAAGAGATGTATGAATAGGAAGTGAATATGGATGAATAGAAAGAGAATATGTATGAATAGGAAGAGAATATGGATGAATAGAAAGAGAATATGTATGAATAGGAAGAGAATATGGAGGAATAGGAATAGATGTATGAATAGGAAGAGAATTTGGATGAATAGGAAGAGAATATGTATGAATAGGAAAAGAATATGTATAAATGAATACAGGTTTCACTGTAACTAGATAAAACTGGAAATTTGAAGCACACATAAGTCAATAAAAATAAAGCTCGAAGAGGGGAAGTATCCCCCTCTCCTCCCTTGGCAAAATCTCACTACCCCCCCCCCTCTGAACAATCAGCTTTACACATGAACATTTTACATGTACATGAATTTACTCAAATAGTAATATTACAATTACCTGGGAGATGGGGTGGGGTAAGTTTTGAGAGATGGGGGAGGAAGACCTGAGAGATGGGGGAGGAATACCTGAGAGATGGGTGGGGGAAGACCTGGGAGAGGGGG